GCCCAAGTGCTTCTCCTGCCCCCACCCCAGCCCTGTCACCTCCCCAACCCCTCCCTGACAGTGATTCCCACCCCCACGTGCCCACCTCATCCATCCACTTGTCTGCCAGCACACCTAACCTCAGTGCTGCCCCGGAGTACCCCCAGGGGCCCCCAAACTACCCCTCCCCTTGTAGACCATTTCCACCCCGCTGGTACTTCTTGGAGCTGAGCGGGTCATGAGCTAAAATCACAGAAAATGAGGGCTGGAAGGGACCTCAGGTGACATCTCGCCCAGCCTCTTGCTCCAAGCAGGACCAGCCCCAACTGCATCATCCCAGCCAGGGCTTTCTCCAGCCGGGTCTTCAACACCTCCAAGGATCGAGATGCCACCACCTTTCTGTGTAACCTGTCCCAGTGCGTTACTACCCTCCTTGTGAGAAAGTTCTTCCTAATATCTAACAGCTTCCCTTGCTGCAACGTGAGCCCATTGCTCCTTGTTTTGCCATCTGCCCCCACTGAGACCAGTCCAGCTCCAGCCTCTTTGCAACCCACTGCAGGGAGCTGAAGGCTGCTATTCAATCTCCCCTCAGTTTGCTAAAACAAATCATTTTGATTTTAATAAACCTATTCAATTTAGGGAGAATGAAACGCTGTCACCTGTACAAGCACCCCTCTTCTCCAGACTCAATAAGCCCAGTTCCCTCAGCCTGTCTTCCTAAGCCCCTCGAACCATTTTCGTTGCCCTCTGCCAGACTCTTCCCAATCCTTTCTGGATTGAAGCCCCCACAGCTGTACACAGGACTCCAGATGTGGCCTCCCCAGTGCCGAATAGAGGGGAAGAATCACTTCCCTCCATCTGGCAACGCTCCTACTCATGCCCTTAGCTTTCTTGGCAACAAGGGCACTTGGTTGCTCATACTTGGCTCTTTCATGGGAAAGTAGGGCTTGATTCTTGACAGTCTCTTAGCAGACAAGAACAAGGGGTCAAACTATGGAAGTAGTAAGTCGAAGGTTTAAAACGACCATGAGGAAGGTCTTTTGCATCCAGCATGGGAGCCACGGGTGGGACTCGTGGCCGGCAGATGCAATACAAACCAGGAGCATAGCTAGATCCGCTGAAGGAAAGGAAGGAAAGGGGCACCAGTCACTATTCAGCACAGGAGCGAAGGGCACGGCCTCTGAACCAGACCTTCCTGGACTCACAGAGAACTAGGGCTGGAAGGGACCTCCAGGGGTCACATCAACTGCACCCCCCCTGCCCAAGGCAGGCCTGTTGATGTGCCAGTCTGTGACATGGGCCAAAGCTCACCAAGTAGAACTATAATTCCCATGCCCCCGGGTGATGACAGCTGCGAAGGGCAC